TCTGGAGGCCTTACCTTTTAGCACTGTGCATGCTTGTGATCCTCTCGAGGTTAGTCTAGCCTCGAGAAAAACTATTGTTTCTAATTCGGTGGTTCGAGATCTTCCTATTTGTGTCGGTGGTCGAATTCTGGAGGCCAATGTGTATGTGATCGATATGCGAGACTTCGATGTGATCTTGGGCATGGACTGGCTCACCCGTTATCGAGCCGACATCCGGTGCCAGGAGCGCGAAGTCACCCTCTATCCCGCTTCCGATCAGCCTGTTGTGTTCTTTGGGGTGAGTTCGAGGACTGTGCCTCGGGTCATCTCTTCTAGGCAAGCTAGGAAGAGCCTCTCCAAGGGTAGCTGTCAAGGCTACCTTGTTTCTATGGTATCCGACGTCGATGATGAGCGGGTGCCCGAGCGAGTATCCATTGTCTGCGAGTACCTCAACGTCTTTCCTGATGACTTGCCCGGAGGACCACCAGACCGCCAGGTGGAGTTCACCATTGACTTGATTCCAGGAGCCGGCCCCGTTTCTAAGGCCCCTTACCGTATGGCGCCGAAGGAGCTTCAAGAGCTCAAGGCCCAGATCCAGGAGTTGCTCAAGCTCGGTTTCATTCGTCCGAGTGTCTCGCCGTGGGGTGCGCCCGTTCTATTCGTGAAGAAGAAAGACGGATCTATGCGCATGTGCATTGACTACCGGGAGTTGAATGCCCTTACAGTCAAGAACAAGTACCCCCTTCCCCGTATCGAGGACCTTTTCGACCAGCTGAGAGGAGCCAGCGTATTCTCCAAGATTGATTTGCGATCTGGTTATCATCAGCTGAAGATCCGGGAGTCGAATATTTCCAAGACCGCCTTGCGTACTCGCTATGGCCACTATGAGTTCGTCGTCATGCCCTTCGGACTCAGTAATGCCCCGGCCGTCTTCATGGACCTTATGAATAGGGTCTTTCATCCTTTCCTGGATCAGTTCGTCATTGTGTTTATCGACGACATTCTGGTCTATTCCCGTGATATTGATCAGCACAAGGAGCATTTGAGGATTGTGCTTGAGACTCTTCGCCGCGAGAAGTTGTATGCAAAGTTCTCGAAGAGCGAATTCTGGCTGCAGCGTGTGGCATTCCTTGGCCACATTGTGACAGCTCGAGGCATTGAGGTGGAGCCCAGCAAGATCGAGGCGGTGAGCAAATGGGATACACCAAGAAGTGCCGCAGATGTTCGTAGTTTCCTGGGGTTAGCAGGATACTACAGGAGGTTTATCGAGGGCTTCTCGAAGATAGCCCAGCCACTGACCAACCTTACGAAGAAGACCGTGAGGTTCGATTGGAGTGCTTAGTGCGAGGAGAGTTTCCAGGAGTTGAAGAGGAGACTCACTACCGCACCGGTTCTAGCCATACCCGACCCTACTTTGGAGTTCACCGTCTATAGTGATGCTTCGAAGATGGGTTTGGGTTGCGTCCTGATGCAGCAAGGGAAAGTTGTAGCATATGCTTCGAGGCAGCTGAAGCCTCACGAGCAGAACTATCCCACTCATGATCTTGAGTTGGCCGCTGTTGTCCACGCTTTGAAGATCTGGAGGCACTATCTCTATGGAGGCAAGTGCGAGATTTTCACCGACCACAAGAGCTTGAAGTACATTTTCACTCAGAAGGAGCTGAACATGAGGCAGCGTAGGTGGTTGGAGCTGGTCAAGGACTACGACTGCACCATTAACTACCACCCTGGGAAGGCCAACGTGGTGGCCGACGCCCTTAGTCGGAGGAGCCATGGCCAGTTGTCTTGCGTGTTCACCCAACAGGATGTTCTTCTTCAGGAGTTCGAGCGATTGCAGTTGGAGGCAGTGGAGTCGACTTCCTCAGCCGGGAGTGTGTTAGCCTCTTTTGTTGTGGGACCGACTCTTCGAGAGAGGATAGTCGCCGAGCAGCCGAATGACCGTTTCCTATGCCGGATGAGGGAGTTGTCAGCAGCCGGTAGAGTTGGTGGATTCGCAGTCGCATCCGATGG